GGGCAGGGAGGTGTTACTCAGGCAGGGGGGGCGGGGCGCAGGCGTGGGATGGAAGTGTGACAACATTCAGAGCAGGGGCTCTGCCCTGCTGCCATGTGCCTAGCCAGCGCTGGGGGGGTGGGAATTGATGTGGGTGTGGCTCACTCCGAGTGGAATAGGGCAAGTGGCAGCAGGGCATAGCCCCTGCTCCTAGCATTGCTGTCCCTGCATCCTGTGCATCTGTGCCAGCTGGCAAGCAGCAGCAGCAGCACAGAGTCCCTGCTCCCAGTGCTGGGAATGGGACCTATGCCCTGCTGCCACTTGCCCCCTTCCGCTCAGAGTAAACTGTACCTGCATCGCACCCCCCTGCCCGGCACCAATTGGGCAAGAGGCAGCAGGGCAGAGCCCCTGTTCTCAGCACTGCTGTGCCTGCATCAGTGCTGGGAGCGGGTGCCCTGTGCCACTGCCCTTTGCTAGCTGGCATGGGGGCAGAGTGGGGGGCCCACAGGTGCTGCCTCTGCTTGTCAGCCAGTGCAAACGAGCAAGCACTGCCACTGCTTGACAGGCAGCGCAAGGGAGCAGGCATGACAGCGCTGGGAGCGGAGGCTATGCCCTGCTGCCGCTTGCCCCCTTCTGCCCAGAGCAAGCTGCGCCCACATCCACCCCTCCTCCTCGGCTAGGCAAGTGGCAACAAGGTATAGCCCCCGCTCTGCGCACTGCTGTGCCCACATCCTGTGCCCCCCTCCTCAAGTCCCATGCCCCTGCCCCAGCTGGGAAGCTTGTCTTAGCTCCAATCCCAATCCCTCCCTCCCCCAACCCAAAAAGATTTACCTGCTGGAGGCACTTGTGTCAGTTGCCTGTTTAATCTATGGCCAAATTGCCAACCCTTTTCCAATTCAATTTGGATGCTTCAAATTGATTCAGAGCTTATAATTCGTCTCCCCATTCGATTCAGAGATTCAGTCCCTGAATTGGGCCAAATTTCCTCCAAATTGAACCAACTACTGAAGCTTTGCACAGCCCTACCCCATACCATCCTGTGCACCCAATCCAGCGTATGGGGCCATGCTAGCCAGTCTTTGGGGCTTCCCATGGGCCTGGAAATTTGGCAGCAGTGCCACTGCTAAATTTTCCAACCGGTACAAAACCCCATGGGCCAGGTGACCCAACACCAGAGACAGAGGACCACATATGGCAAGCTTCTCCAAGTGTATTTGCATTGATAACATTCTTGATCAGGTATAATTAGGGCTTTGAAAGCCTCTTTTTAAGAAGAATGAAGTGGCTGGAACAGGGTGGGGACCTTATCTCTGCATGAGATATTTTATGTACAGCTCTATCTGGAAGCAAGTTAGGCTACTGTTGGGCCTGTAACTTTGAGGAAAATATGTCTACATAAAAATGTTAAACTACCAAAAATTTAAGATGATCAAGAATGGCAAAGCATTTTAATACATAGCACCAGCTGTTAAGGCTTCTGAGAAGTCAGTTTTATGGTACCAGTGATAAATGGAAAAAATAAAGATTTTTTCTTGGCAGCAAACTAAATATACTAAATTTAATAGGAATGGATGATATTCATCTTTTTACCTTGTTTAAAAACTAAGAGCATTAGATCTCTGGAAAAAGTACAAGCAAAGCCATTTCATAATAAGACAAAACACATTTGAATTTTTATTTACCATTTTGACAGAGCCAAACTTTCTGTGTGTCACAGTTTGCAACTACATTATGACTGATTTTATGTTAAGAAAAATCTAAGATCAGAAGGAAGAAGTTCTTGGGGACAACTTACACTGATAAAAACTAGAGACATACCAGTCCGAATTCCATGGGTTCAGGTCAAGACTTCCCCCCCGCCCCCGCCAAAAATAAAATATTAAACCTCACCTTTATTTTCCTGCTGCAATTCCCTTATTTGTCTGTTTTCCTGCTGGATACCCATCACTAATGTAGACCGAGGCCGATGTCTTGCTACCTCATTAAGCTCTTGAATTTCTTCTTGATACTAATTAGAATTCAACAGTCATGTTAAAAAAAAAATATGTATATGAATGTAAGCAATTATCAACAGTGACTAATATAACTTAAAATTTAGCATCTGGGTCCAATATTAACAACATTTGAGATACTTGTTATATAATTAAGTAACAATTAATTGGAACTAATTTTAAGGATAGCTTTTTGTACAGAACATACTGCATATACCAAAATTGACTGCAAGAACAATGTCTCCTAATTGGTCTCCAAATTAAGAGTACAGTGACAGTTTAAGATCTGCATGCCAAACTCTACTGTATCTTGACCATGCTAAATTCACTTCAAATGCAACAATGTTACCTTCATCTAGAGTCATGAAAAATCTATACTTTTACTACCTTGCTAGGTCATGTGACAGGATGATCTTTCTAATTAATACCAGAGAACCTTGTTTTGCCCCATCATTTAGTAGAAGTTGAGGCTAGTGATACCCCTTCATTAGGAAACAGAAAATGAAAATTGTTACCCACTAGAAAAAAATCAGTTGAACTAGCTATTTGACTCAGATGATGAGAGAGTAGGAAGATAACATGCAGCAAGAGAAAATAAGACTGCATGCTTATAGAAGTCTCAGTACAATTAATTTTGGATGTCTGAGCTAATAAAACAAAAGAATACGTACTTTGGGGAAGAGAAGACTACAGACATCATAATTTTGTATAAGTTTTATATAAAAAACAATTCTATAAACCCTTAAGCACATATTTAACTTTAAGCATATACATTGGTTACTTTAGTCCCAATCTCAAGAACAAACAACTTGTTCATAGGATCACAGTAACCAACATGAGAAAAGACCTGTTTCATTAGAGAGTTCATACTCATGTGGCAGCCATCTAGAATGTCAATAGAAGAGGTATCTAAATTAGTGATCTAAGTTAATAGCATTCAAGATTACCCGTATCAGTCTTAATGGTGGTATCTCAGTTTCTTCACTTTTTAAAATGAGCCAGCAAATGAAAAACAAACCTGTTTCATTGCTTCTACCCGCTTGTTGAGAGCAGTAGTTTGTTCAATAAGAGTTTCTGCTGCATCATCATGCTCCCTTAACCGCTCCACTAGTGCTTTGGCATCAGCTAGGGCTTTCTCAATTGTGCAACTCATTTCTAAAAAATTGTAAATATATCACTTTAAAAGCAAGCACTACTTATCATACCATAGTACAATCCTAGTTATACCTGCAATGTCAAAATTTTTAAACTTATTCTGTAGCTCTTGGATACATTCTCTCCCTCATCAGCAAAAAGGGAGAAATATTCAAAACCTTGTTTTCTTCTTTGGAAACAAGAACATTTTGCAACTCTCATGAAACCCCAACAACTGAGTAACTAGTGGTGCACTGATAGAGATTTTTGGGGCCAATACTGATATATGATTTTTAAGGAAGCATACTGGCTCATACCAATCCAATTTCTGATACATCGTGGAGAGCTGCCTCCAGCTGGTAAGTCCGTTGTGATGAAGGAAGGGGTGCTGGGGGCAGTTCAACCCTCCCCCTCCCCCCCCGAGGGAGGGGACAGGGGCAGGCACTGCCCAGCCAGGGAGAGGCATGGTGTGGGACAGATCCGCAACTCATTATGGGGGGGAAGCAGCTTCTGCGGCTGCACACACCACAGGAGGGTACAGGTGGGTATGTGCCCCCTGGATCTGCGTGGGGCAGGTGGGCTGCAGCTGTGCGCTGGAACCCCATGCCCCTTCCACCACAACAGACTTACCAGCTGGAGGCAGCTCTCCACACTGCTGGCTGTGCTCCTTGCCACCTGAGTGCTGCGTGCATGCACGGGCATTTATCGGCCAAGTTATCGGCCCCTTTGGGCTGATTTCCAGTACAACCAATTTTCTTTATAATCAGTGCCAATCCAATATCAGACCAATGTACTGGTGCATCTCTATGAGTAACCTTCAAGCACCTTTAATTTAGAAAACTCAAAACCATGAGCCATGGACAAGAGCCAAAGGAAACTTCAAGGATCCAAGCTGTTGAGAAAGCATGATTTATGCATGGCCTGTGTGAGAGAAGCAGGAGTGGAAGAAAAGAAAAAACAGCAGCAACATTGCAAAGGTTAATGGAAAAAGATGACAATATTGAAAAATTTGAGTGTGTGTCATACCACACAACTGTTTTGAGATGGCAGCTACATATCTGGAAGGGGAAATCTAATGCTGTGAAAGATGCTGAGAGTCTTAGATTTTTGTTTTAACGAATTGGATGTATAGAAGAGACAGCTAAAATGACATAAGTAAAGTCACTCAAACATTTTAAAAGATCAAGAGGAGATTTTAATTTAGGTCTAAATACAATGACCTCAGCTATCATTACGTGGAAAACACTTAAAAAACAGAAACTTTTTCAGCAGTTGAGAGCAACACAGCAATTTAGGACAGGAAATGAATGTAGTTCATTCAATTAAAACATTATCTATAATTGCAGCAGGTGTGACCAAGCATGGGTTACAGCTAAGCCTGCAAAACATTTCCATCTACTCAAATGCCAGAATAATAGTTTCCTGACTGGTTGTGTTACATGGCTAGTCTACGCACAGATTAAGTTTTGTTTCTTTTTTATTTTAAAAGATTTTGAAAGAGTCTTTTCAGACACGCTTGAGTTCTCAGGCTGGCAGAATAACTGACACTTTTTCCATTCAAATAAAGTATGTATTTCTTTTCTGAACAGTGGCAACAATAAAATAGCAAAGTTTGTATTTTGGCATTGCCACAGACCTCATTAGAGAAAAGTGCATCCACCTGCCTTGGAGAACAGTCTAACAATTCAGAAAACTACTTCCGTAACTGCTTAGAGGACATTCACCAAGGGGGGAATTCTCAAAAGCACAAAAGGCCAGTTAGCCAACAAACTGCCACTGAGAAAAAACACTTTAAGTTGAGTGTGTGTCTTAAGTTTCCGGGGGGGGGGAAGAGGAGGAAATCAGAGTCTTCAGTTTTAATTAGCTATGTAGAGAGTTTAATGGTATAGATTTTGTTTTAGTTTCTGTATTCATTTTCTTTCTAGAAAAAAAGCACATATACACATAGCTTTGCCAGCTTTCCCCAATGGTTGACTGAACTGCGAAAAGCCAAGTTAGCCCAAGTCATGCTAAGTTTAAACACAGCTCTTTAATTCATTCCACAGATCTCCCTGAGACGCACTGGAAAAAATGCTTACACTAGCAAATTCATTTTTTCCAGAGCTTATATAGCTGTATCTTTGTCCATTGTCAATCACTGTCAATTATGGCAAATTTTCTAATTTGTCTGCCATTTTTTAGTAAGGTAATCAATTCTGCCCTACCTACATATCAAGAGAAAGAGAAGTTCCCTGATGTTCCAAATTAGCAAAGTCTGTGCAATGAAGCCACGCATCCTGCCTTGACAGAGCCCAACACATCCACCAGGAAGCCTGCACCATCCTACTGCAGGAGCACAGAAGTCTAGCTATCTAGGCTGCACACTGCAAACAAAGGTCTTATCATGAAATAGGCATACATCTCAGTCTACAGACAGGAACTTATTAATGAAATGTATACCCCCTCCCCAGTTTTACCTATAAATAAACCCCCTCCCAGTTTTATTTATACAGTGACACCCACATCCTGCTTTATTTATTTTATACACGTGTGTGTATACGTACACACACACATATATACACAGCTTTATTTATAGTTTTATACATGCACAAATTTTATACACACGGTTCTATGTGTGTATATGCACACACATACGTATAAAAGCCATGTGTATATGCACACAAGTGTATAAAAGCTATGTATATTACAAAACTGCATGTATACAGAGCTTCTATACACCCGCTGTTGTGTGTATACACACACACAAAGCTGTGTTTTAGTTTGTGTGTGCATGTACACCCACAGATACACATGCACACAGCTTCTATACACACCGTTGTGTGTAATTACACACACGAAACCACATGTGTATAATCACCTCTACCCCAAGAGTTTTGTCTGCCTATTTTATGTACACACACACAGCTTAGTGTACACACAGTTGTATATACCCACATATATACTCCCTCTCTGAGAGAGTCCAGAGAGCCATGCACACGATCAAAGGGCAGGAAAACAGGCCTTATGATGAGAGGCTGGGAGCACTGAGACTCTTCAGCCTGGAAAAGTGCAGACTCAGGGGGGGAGAATCTAGTGGTAGCCTATAAGTATTTAAGGGGTGTTCACCAGAACACCCCTAAGGGATGCCAAGGTCAAACAGTCACAAACTCCTCTGAGACCATTTCAGGCTGGACATAAGGAAGAACTTCTTTACTGTTTGAGGCCCCAAGGCCTGCAATGACTGTGACCAGAGGTGGTGCAAGCACCTACTCTGAACTCCTTTAAGAGACATTTGGACGTTTATCTTGCTGGGATCCTTTGACCCAGCTGACTGCCTGCCCCTGGGGCAGGGGGCTGGACTTGATGATCCTGGGAGGTCCCTTCCAACCCTAATGTTTATGAAGTCTATATACGCATATAAACACACACGCAATTTTCTCTCTCTCTACACACAGTTATTTCCAAACACACACTCTTCCTCCCCACGGTCCGGTTCAGGCAGCCTCCCAGCCCAGACGCACGCGGCTCCATCCCACAGCTGGGCCACCCTGGCCCCGCGACAACCGGGCCTACAGCGACACCCAATCCAAATCCGGGTCACGACCCCCGCCCCCGCCGACTCACTCATGCCTGGTGGCGCCAGCAAAGCCTGGGCCAGGCCGAGCCGTGATCGGGGTCAGCGGCCGCGGGAGCCGCTCATACCGTGACGCCAGCCAGCCCCACAGGCAGGAGGGGCGGGGCTTCCGTGCGCCCCGCCGCTCCCACTCAAACCGCGGTCGCCGCCAGAGCGCCACTTATCGCGAGACTTCCCACTCCTCGGTTTGTTTGTTTTTTGTTTTGTTTTTTTTAAATAGCCGCTTCAACCACATTCCGCGAGACTTCGAAATCCCATACCCGCCCCCGGAGCGGTCAAATCTATTAGCTACGAAATCGCGCGAGAAGCCTATGCCGAAGGGTCTAGGTCTCGCGAGACCGGCGGCGAGCTGAGGGGTAGGGGGCGCTGCTGGGGAGAGTGTACGTACGGCCCCGGGGATCTCAGTGCCGCCGTGAAGGTGTCGGAGTATTAACTACTATTTCACACCGGCATCTTCCCCCTCCCCGCGCAGCGCCTGTGGGGCGGGCTATGGAGGGCAGGCGCCTGGCCGCCCCGCCCCCCTTGTGAGCGACATTCCCCCCCCCGCGAGCGGCCCCGGGACTTATGCACCAGAGGCGGATCCGGTCAAAAAGTAAGAGGGAGTGAAAGTCCCCCACAACTCTTTTTTGGTTGCAACGCAGCCCGGGAGTGGGGGGCAACGGCGCATGCGCACTAGCGCCTCCCAAACAACTCCCCCGCCACCCTCCCCCCCCCCGGCGCTAACGGTGG